GCATAGTTTCTTTATGCGCCATTTTTGACCTTGGGATTTTACGTTTCTTGAAGATTATTTTCAGCAGGACTTATTTTGCGATCGCTGTGCGTTTTATTTCGGCGGGATATAACGTTTCAAGTAAATTATTTCAAGTTAGACTTTTGCTACTTAGCAATCGCTGCGCATTATTTCGTCACTTTTTTTTTCTGTATGGATTTAACGTTGTCAATTATTTTCAGCAGACCTACTGTTACTTGGCGATCGCTACGCTATCGCTGTTATCTTAAATTTTCTTTCTGAACTTAATATATTAACGAAAAGAAATCATGAATTAAGAAAAAGATTCTTTATTGATTTTTTTAAAAGTGATACAATTTAATATTTTATATATTTTGTATTTAAGTAATTTATATTTTGTCATAAAAAGTTAGCTTTTTTTTAATAATTGTCATGTAAATATAATAATTTGATAGAATTTGATTATTTTTTAAACCATTAAATCTTCAGTAGCTTTTAGTTTTAAAAAAATTAAAACAGAGCCTACATTTAATTAATTTGCTTTTATTTTTGAGGAAATTGTAACAGAGTTTGCATTATTTCTTTTTTTTTTAATTTGGCTGTTAGTTAAAATGACAAAATTTTTTAAAATTAAATGAAAAGTTAAGCAAGGTTTTAACGCTTTTCAATAATTTATCAATAGTGCACTTAAATATAGAATAATTTGTTAGATTGTCAGTATTATTTTTAAACATTTAAATCTTTAGTCTATTTCATTTTCGAAAAGGAAAATAATAATAAGTAAATAAAAAAAACTTACATTTATTTTTACATTAAAACTATTTGACCATTAGTCAATACAACTTTATTATTTTAAATAAGTCATTAACAAAAGTCTAACGATATTTCAAAAGCACATTGTTTTTCAACAAATAATTTTAAAAATTGTTTTATTTAAGTGGACATTTCTTTTTTTTTTTTTTTAATTTTTAATGTATTTAAAATATTTTGTAACAGTTTTATTATAATTTTTAAAAAATCTAAGTCATTTTTAGTTTAAGAAAAAAATTAAAATAAAGCCTGTGTTTGTTTTTACTTTAAGGCAGTCTTAAATCAATCCATCTTTATTTTAATTAAAAAAATTAAGCAAAGAATTAAAATTTTCTTTTGTTTTAGATTTATTTCTTTTATTTATTTTTGATTGATTTAAAGATTTCAGATTGATTAATTTCAAACATATGTTAAATCACGATGTCTGACTGACGATCTATCACGATATAAGATTTCTTACAATGCCCAGGCCTATTTTTACATAAATTATAATAATTCTTGAGGATTTTTTTTTTTTAAATGTTTGATCACTGGGTAGGCGGCCGATTTATTTGGCGGGATATTTGACTATTCGGCCAAATCATTATTCATTATTTCCTATTTTATAAAATAGTAATATAATATATATATATAATCCATATTTGCATCCAATTTTCATTACCTGTGATTTATTTGACAAATTATTGTTTTATAATTTCAGACAATACTTTAATTATTACGAACAAAATTTTTTAATCTTCTATTATTTTAGTTCCTTTAATATCCATACAAGACGCAATACTTTTTAATTGAATAAATTCTAATTCCTTAGAGGTGCAGTATTGCTTATCACACACAGTGTAAGCATAAAATTTTTTATAACTAAAAGCAGACTATTTTATAAAGATTTTTTTCTCTTTTTATAAATGATGTTTCTGATTCCACTACCTTTTTGTTGTTTTTTCCCTTCATTTACAATAAATTTTGTACTTAATGAATTATTTCCTTTCATTTTCAATTTCTAGATATGCAATTTTTTCTTTTTTATTTCAATTGATCATTACATCCTGCCTTGTCTTGTGTTTCAATATTTATGTTAGCACTTATTTTAACCATCATTTCTGTTTTTCAGTTCTTAATTTTAATTTATGAGCACTAAATAAATTAAAAAGCACTTAAGTTCTAAGTTCTTTATTTTTATTTCTTTCGAGTTGAGTAGGAGGGGGGAATATCGAACATCATAAACCATTCCAGAGTCAAGGTTCATCCAATTCCATAAGTTTTCGCAGAATTCCAAATTCACCACTAAGCATTCTCCTCCAGTATGAAGTAGCAGTGAAGATAAAAAAAAAAAAAAAAAAAATTNAAAAAAAAAAAAAAAAAAAAAAAAAAAAAAGAATTATGAGTTGAAGATCAGCAGATGATTTTTAAAGACTTGCATTGATAACCCAATTTCTCTCTTTGTAACTCGGCACCATTATGTGGTGATGATGATCAGGGGATGACGAAAATTACACTTGAACCGGATCATATTTAATAAAAAGCTTTTATTTAATATATTTACAGAGCTCGAGATACAAAATATAAATATTATCCTTAAAAAATTCAGTTGAATAAATTTTGCATAATAATATTAATAAGGACAGGCCATGGGAGACAAATCCCCCACAACCTGCCTAATTAAGAGCTAAATTAAAAGTATGTGTAATTTGTTCCCAACGGACACAAGAGAAGCATGGATAGATCCAAAGTTGGCGATTTGTTAAAATATAACATACCCAAAGCAAAGCCATTATCAATTTAGAGTTCAAAAATACCTTGGCATTCACGAGTCGCCAACAAATTTATGAGAATTATTACAACCATGCAACTGAAACATTTTTGCAGTTAGAAATTTAGTATTACAAAGTTATAAATAGATTTTAGTTTTCGAGTAAGCGCAACAGTGAATTAATAAGTCTGCATTAGTTGAAATAAAAGTATCTGTTACATTGATCTATAAGAGAAGAATAAATATTTTATGTTCATTTTAGAAGCTTAAGTCTTCGATTTATTTTAAATATAATTCTATTAGTAAAATAAGCTTAAGTAATTAAATATATTTTAAAAGGATGGGAAATAAGTATGTAATGCCAATTGTGGCATCATATATATATATATTTAGCACAATAAAAACAAAGAGAAAAACGAAGAAGATTAATAAGTTTTATTAACTGCACAAAAGCTGCAAGTATATAGAACTCATAAAATAAGCTAAAATATTGAGAAAATATGGAAAATCGGATATAATCGTGCGGGCTGATGAAGAGATTATATCTTTGTTTTGTTTTCCAGATTTTTATTTTTTATTTTTTTTTTTAGATATCAAAAATTATATTTTTTAAATACTTTTGAAAAATTATTTTTGATAATTATCTTCTCTTGTCATTATTTTTTATTATTTTCCATATTTTCTCAATATTTTAGCTTATATATATATATGTATACATAGACATCAAAAATTTATTTTATCAATCACAATTTTAAAATTTTTTTAATTAATGTTGATAACAAGTCAAATTATTAATCGGTTATTAAAACAAAATTATGCTTAGTTGGTAACATAAAAAAAATCAGCTTCTTTATTAAAGCTTTTATCTTGGGTTGAACTTCTTCTTGAGCTTTTACTTGAATTTTTGTCATGAGCTCTATGAATGAAATCAAATTTAATGTAGACTATTCTGTTTGTCTAGAAAATGTTCAGTATCAAAGCATAATCTATTGTGTCAATTTTAAGAAATTAAAGCATAGTCTATCATCTTAATAGTAATTAGGTATTTCTTTTGGTTGTGTATTCTGTTGATTGTGTATGTCATGTTATGAATTTATAATCATGATATATCTTATGTATATTATACAGTTATTTTCTTTCCATGCTGTTTTAATATCTTTTATGTATGGTAATTTACTAAAATAAGCTATTCATTAATCATAAATTTTATACTCTAGTGTTAGTTCCAGCTTTTTTTAACTTTAAGCTGGTGATTTTCCAGTTCAATGAGAAAGGAATAATGTAGTGGAGAAATTTCTACTGTGCATTAATATGAGAACAATTTTTCCAGGGATTCAATGCTTTAAGAGTAATACTTAAAGCAAAGCTTTTCAGAATTTATATGATTTCCTTTGGTTACTACTGTAAGTAATGAAGCATTCACTTTTAATGGGAAACTTCCCTTGAAAAAGGCATTTCATAATATTCTTTTCATTGATATTTATTTTAAAGGTAGGTTGGTCTAAATCTCTCCTATAATACTTTTGATCCTACAAAAATTTTTACTTCCATATAACTGGGTTTCACCTTTTAAGGATGATGGACTAGTAAGGAAAGCTGTGGATTGAGAGAGAGAAAAAAAAAATTATGATAATGAGAAGAATTTTGAGAATAAAAAAAATTAGGTCAAATAAGTAAATATGAATTCAAAAATAAAGCATTCTTTAATGTGGTAATAATTACTCCACCTAGATTTTTTTAGTAAAAAATGCAATAATTTTAAAGTGTGTTATCAAAACTTTTGGAACTTAATTTGATAAGTTGTGAACTGTTAATAAGTGATATCATTGCATTATTTTTAGGAATATGTTGGCAACTTATATTTTTATTCATCCGGTATGTAGTTTCACACTTGTCATTTAAAATTATTTTGCAGACTTCATAACAAGCAACGCCTCTACATTTATTCTACATTTGAAGAGACGTTTCTTTACATCCTGTATGTTAATCTTCAAAAAAAACAATTTTAAATTTAGTTGTTTGAAAACGTAGTTTTTATTTTATTTAGCTAGCATTTTTATAGTTATGCTTGTTACATAAAATATTAAAATTATTGATCTTATATTGCCTGTAAATGGCACCTGTCTATTACTTCAACATTGGTGTATGGATAATCATAAGAAAAGAAAGTACTAAGGTCTTGATTTTTAAAATGAATTTAAATAATTTTAAGTTTAGAAAGTAAATAGAATTCATTACGATCCTAAGCATAGTGCTTAAAGTGAACATTACAGAATTTTTTGAAATGTATTTTAGGAAATCCTAAGTAAGAGGCATTATGGGAGGTTAAAAATATTGTATTACTTTCACATATAATTGGACAGAAGAAAGAGATCTGTTATGAATATGAAACCAGATGGTATTGTTTTCGCGACTAACTCCTTTTTTCCTTTCCCTTTAGAAACAATATATATTTGTATATAGAGCATTAATGGAACATGCTCAGTTTGGTGATACAGAAATAGAAGTGAGGCATCTCCGAGATCATTATGAGTTGTTAAAAGAAAAGGTTGGAGATTCAGATAAAACTGGTCTTGCAATAGAGTTTGAGGTAATGATTGAGGTCTTATTTATTTCTCTTTGTAACTAACTCTAATTTCTAAGTTACATTATATCTGCTAAATTAATTAACACTGTGTTTGCTAAATTTTAAAAAATTATCTTAACTGACCTTACTTCATTTTAATAACAAAAATACTCATTTTCTTTTTTTTTTCTGTAACTGTTTTAGAAATTGAGTGATGTGATTGAAGATCCTAAAACCTGTTGTGTGGGAACTATGGATATGAATGTAGGAAAGAACAGATATGATTTTATTATCCCTTGTAAGTTATTTAATTTGTTTGATAAAACATGTTTTCTTAAATATTGAAAAGTAGTAAAAAAAGCTCTTGGACCCGTAGTTTCCTTCAATTAATATTTGATTTTAATTGTTGTATATGGTAAGTTTACACTTTTTTGTTATTTTCAAAAACTCTTAAGTTCTTTTTTAAGATGATTTACAAGTAAGTAAATGTTGTTTACATTGTGATTTTTTTAACTTATTTAAGCTTAATACATTTAATCAGAATTATTGTCCTATGTGATTTCTTTGTGTATTATTGATTCATTCCATAAATAATATATCCTATATTGTTTTTGGAGAAATCATTAAACCAATTCACTGACTTTTCTGATAGTACACAGGTGCTTATGAATGATTGAATCACCAAACTCAAGATTCTTGGATGGTTCCTCAACAATAACAATGGTATTTTGTTCAACCAGGGTTTACAGGACAGTTGACAAACTTACTTTATTTATGGGATGACTCAATGTTTGTAAATCTCAAAATATTTCTAAGAAATTTCAATTGATTAATTTCTTTTTACAGATGACATAAATAGAGTTATATTACCTCCCTCTCCATCCAGAGATCATTCATCATACATAAATGCATCATTTATTCAGGTATATGCTAATTTTATTTCCTAAACGCACACCAGATTGTTATGATTTCATTAATAAATTGATATTGGTGTTACTACTTTATTATAAACTTTAATTATAAACTTTTTTTGGATTTATTACATTTTTTATCACATAATTAACCCACTGGCGGTTAAGGAAATGGGCAAAATTGGAAGAATGTTTCTCCCCTACACACAGTTCCCCTATCAGTTAACATGGGAAAACCGGTTTTGCTATGCAGAGAAGACTGCAGGTTAAAATGCGACTTTTTACGTGCAGAACCGTCAGTGGGTTAACACACTAGTTAACATATTATTTGGACATAATTTTTTTCTACAACAGTCATACCTTACACTGGTTTCATGAACTTGGGAGTTAAGCTAAACCTTTTTTTTAAAAAATGATCATCAAATTTTAATAATGTAATGGAGCTTTAGAAATTAATTTCCCAAATTTGCATCACGAAACTTTATTTTTTTTAAAAAATTACATTTTCTACAGTAATCTTCTTTAAATGGTGCCATCTATTTTGAATTTGAGCTGCAACTTTTCCTAAAAATAACTTCAAATTTTAAATATGGAAAATTATTTGCAATTTTTTAAAAATATATATATGTGTGTGTGTATTTATCGAATTTGCATAGTTAAACAAAAATATTTCATCAACATTCTTTATGGCAGTCATTTTTTAAAATTGTGCTTTACATCCTGATAGTGATCCATAATTTTGTCTAAAAATGGTGATGAATTCTAAATTTTTAGTAAAAATGAATTTCAACAAATAAATTAAGAGACAGTTTAGAAGGATGTTTTTGGAATATTTTCTACAAAATTTTATCTTTTAGAAAACACTAGTTTAGATCACAAACACTAGTCTGGTCAACACTTGATCTGGTTAATTTAGCTCTTAACCCTTCAAGCATTGAGCCCCTGGGTAAAATTATACAGAAGATTTCCTACTATGCAATATTTTCTCATTCAATAACATGGAGAAACCGGTTTTTTCATAGCAGGAAAGCCCGCATCTGAATGTTCGGAAAAAAGCCAGGACCAACACTTAGAGGATTAAAATGTATTTTCGATTTGGGGGACATACAACAGTATCTTAAAAATACGTATCTCGTTATAGTGAGTTGCGTTGTGATTTTACATTTCTATTTTGACGGAGATAAATAATTAATTTTCCTTGATTATTACCTATTAAGATTGAATTGTCGCATTAATTTTGGTATGAAGTTAATTCAGAAAAATAGGACTAACAATTTACTATTCCAAGTCAATTCTAAATTGACATGTGCTTCACTAATACTTAAATCTAATTACATCAAGGCTTAAATTTTTTTAATAAAATTATTTATATTGATTAAACAATTTGAAGTCTCTGTGCAATCAAAGGAATCTATGCATTTATCCTGATTGAATTATTAAATCTAATCTAGAATCGAGTTCGAGCCTGTCAGGAAAATATATTCAATTATGTAACTAAATGCCACTAAAATCTTCAGTAACTACCTAAAATGAACCAATTAACAACTGCTAAATAATAAGAGTTAAGTTTATACAAAATTACGCTATTTATTGTTAAGCATATTAATCATGTTCAGCTCAAAAGATTTGGCACAATATTCCACGACATGTGGTTCAACATTTTATCTTAAACACGACAATGAAATCAAACCATTAATAGACATTTTAATACAATAAAAATATTCTCTGGTGCAGGAATAATAAATAAAAAAAAAGAAATTAAGTTTTCATTTTATTGATAAGTTAGTTAACGCAGACACGTGGCACGACTACCACGAAGTTGAGTTTAATAATTATAATTAATTATCTCGATCGGATCCTGCGGATTCAATGGATAAAATTGACGTTAAAAGAAAAATATGAAAAAAATAATAAAACTTATCATTATATCCATCGGACGGCCATCAGGAAAATAGGGACGCCGCATCATGCGATTCGATCCCTGGCAAGTACCTGCTGCAACCAGCTCCTTGAAAAAGCAAAGAGAGAAAAAAAACTCTCCCTCCGTATATCGCGCGCCACCGTCCACGCGAAACAGGTTCGATGACGACATTGTTTCGTCACAGTTATAGCTACTAGCCATTGGCCGCGCACCTGTAGGTCAGAGCGGGAAAAAGAGAACTTGAAGATAAGGGATAAATAATTAATGAAAGGGATTTAGGGAAAACAACATTACCTGCTCCAGGTTGAAATAATATTTTAACCTGCTTCCTGAGATTTAATACCTAAATATAAATACATAGTTTTTCTTCATTTCAAAAATACTTGATTATATATTCACATACTTTATGATGTCTGGCTTTTAATGCAAACCCCAGCAATATAATTAAGAGGTAAAAGATTCCACTGCATATATTTAATCGACTTTGTGCTGAGAGAGCCATCAAAAAATTGCTAGCGCAAGACCATTTGTTAACAATCTACCCATATCAGATCAGGGTACAACCTGTTAGCTTTCTGTACGAAAAACTAGTTTATCCTGTATTATTCAATGACAAAACCATGCTTGTAAGACATATTTTTGAAAAAAATTTGCCAAGCAGCAAATCAGTTAAATGGTAAACAGTTATTTATGTTCAATTTTTCTCTCTTAATTAAACTTGTTTAGTTATGCTTTCTTTACAGTGTTTTTTATAACTTTTAACCTGGAATAATTTTTGATCTAGGGTTATGATAGATCTTTGTCTTTCATTATAACACAAGATCCATTGGAAACAACAGTTATTGAGTTCTGGAGAATGATAAAAGAGCAAAGTATTACTACATTAGTCATGCTGTCTGAAATTGGTGAAGGAAAAGTAAGACTAAAAACATTTGTTAGCATTGAGTATAAAAACTTCCAAAGTTCGACAAATATTAAAAACAAGTTAAAATAATATTTTATGAAGTCCATTTTTTCATGCACAAATCTCTTTCTTTTTTCAATGAAACTTTTTTTATTGCCTTTACCCTGACTGAAATATAGTACATAAATTGAAAAATAAGTTTTGGTCTAATCATTGTATTTTCATATGCATGCTATCTTAATGGTTAAAAACATAAATCTTAAAAGTGCCAACAACTAAAAGTAGATCTTATTTTAATTTATGAAATTAGATTACAATTGCAAATACAATTGCATGCAAAAATATTTTTTTAATTAAAAAATTAAATAATAAAAAATATATAATGATCAATAATTATTAAATTATACTACATATTTTTACATCATTTTGAGCTACAGAATTTTAAATAATAAAATAAAATGTAAACTTAAATGGTCAATAATTTCTTATAGATAATTGTATTTTAATATTTAATTGTATAGGTATAATTGTATCTGATATATAATTAGAATTTTTATAGAAAATTTAAAAATGGTAGTATTTTTAAATTTTCTTTTCTCAAAAAATATTTTATCAACTTTGTTCAAGTTTTGGACTTTGTGATATAAAACTATATTAGGAATAATAATGTAAATTATTTTATACCTTACAATTAAAAAAAGGTTTCAGTCATAATTAAAATAAATAATAAAAAATAATTATTACAAATTATTTTTGAATACAATATATAAGAGTATAATGTTTGGATATATGAATTTTATAATTTTGTGCAAAGAATAAAGCAAGCCCTCAAAATTCTGGACACTCTACTAGCTAAACTGCTCAATTATAATTTCCAGATTCTGGCTACTTCTCATAATTTGATTGTCCTAAATATGAATCTATCGCAAAAAAGAAAAAGAAAAATGTCATATTCAGAGAAAGAATTTCTTTTTTTTGTGTGCGTGTGTCTGGTTTATTGACTTATCTGCCTGATTTTTTGCCTGCATCAATAAATTACAGGGTATAACAAAAAAAACAGAAACAATTTTTAATGTAACTTTATTAGAAATAAAAAAAAAACTAAACTCAGTGGCGCGACAGCCCATAGAGGGCCAAGGCCTACTGTGCCCATCTCAGTTTTCTTGACCTTGGGCTCTGGAATGCAGGAGCAGATGTTCCGGTCAGGTGGTCAGCCAAACTTATTAGAAATAAAGAAATTAACAAAATACATAGATGATGGTGCTCCAGAAAAAATCCGGATTTCCGGACTTTTTGCTAACCGCGATCGGGAAGTTTCCTGAAATCCAAGGTCCAAAAGTTTCAAGAAATCATCGATCACAATTATGTATAAAAATTCTTGTATATTTTATTAAAAAATATTCGAACTAGAATTTATACTTGGCATCTGTTTCATTTGTAAATATTTTTTCTGGTAGAATAGTAAATGGGATTAGAGATAAAAGTAAACTAATGTGTACAAGTTTACTCATTTAATTCATTTAAATAATGCTGTACATAATTTATTTAGATTTCATTGTTTTGAAAATATCGATGATTTAAATTTATAAAGACATAAATTTTTTTAATTTGTCATTAAGGATTTTACTCGAGAAATTTTCAGGATTTTTGAGTTGGGCTCACAATCACCCCTGAAAATATAACAAATAATAATAAAAGTAAATTTTTACTAACAGTTGAATCAGTTAATTATAATGCATTTTTTGAGCAGCAAAATTGTCTATTATAACAAAAAAATCTAAAGAAGTGGATAGATAGATAGTGGTAGAAAGATAGCTGGTATTAGTCATCATTGACCTCAAATATGTTTTTTTCACTTTTGAAAACGAATGTTCTGTCGTACTAATGGTTACAGAAACAGTAGGAAAAATTCTTAAAGAAATCACAAAATTTGGCATAGCATCAGTAAAATTGTTTTTGTACTGTAATGTTTTACTGTAGTATTTGCTGTTCGTTTGAAACTAGAAACCTTGATTCATTGACAGTACAAGTAACTAAATAGCAAAATGAGTGACGATGACAGTGGCAATGTCTTATTCTTAGCCCCTAGTAGAAAGAATTATTAACATGCTTATACATGCCACAATAATTGGCTAATAAAATAAATAGCCTTTTCTACTGTGAAAGAGATAGAACTATGGGTGTAATTTATAAAGAGATAAAGAAATTTTCTCAATGTGCCAAGAAAGTGAAGGGATAAAAAAAACTTGTAATATGGCCAGTGTTTTCACTACAGCGCGAGAACGCGAGAATCTCGCATATTTTTTTATATTCTCGCATTAAAAAATGATAACCGCGAGAAATTCGCGTATTCTATAAACCAATTTCAAAATTGGCGAATTTCTCGCATTTTGAAAAAAATTTCTCATTTGCACCATTTAGAATAAAATCCGTCTCACTTTTCTTCCTGAATCTTTTATTATTTTCCACATCTGCCCCATTATCTAGCTTCCCTATTTACCAGTATTGTTCAGAACCTTTAAGAACAACAGAACACCATCCNGTTTTTTTTTTTTTTTAATTTTTGAAGTCTCACTTAACTTTTTGAAATCTCACCCTGTTTTTGAGAAAGGGTGAGAAATTCTCACCCATTTTTTTTCTGAGATGAAAACACTGTATGCTAACAAGTTTTGAAATTTTAGCAGCCCGTTATTTATAGTAGCCACCTAGTTTGCACACCCCTAAGCACGGCCCTAGATACATTAAAAGTGTATGTTTTATTTCGATTTTTAAAGGATAAGTTGCTCATGCAGACATGTAGCAAATATTGTTTTTTGAAGAGACTTTACTTAAACTAATAATGTCTTCAACTAATTTTGTTTTTGACGTGTTTGAGAAAGAGTAAAAAGAAGAAGAGTCGTGGGAAGAAAACCTTCTATATGCTATAAGTGGAGTGTGTGATGTAGAAGAGCAAACACGTGTCTAATGGTATATTTGTTCAATATCAGGGCTCGGCGAGAGTCACTTTTCTCACTTAAAGTCACTATCTTAAAAAATAGTAACTTTTATTTACTATTTTTAAGCCCTTGTCACTTACCTCACTTTTTTTTAAAATTTTTTATTTTTATTTTCAATGCAGCAGGCGATACAGACATTATCCTAATGCCATCTTTTTTTTATTGCGTTCCACGATTTTTCTTTTTCAATCCCATAAAAAACTTTGCTTTCCCCTCCCCCTTATTGTCCTGTCCTAGTGCCTCACCCAAATGGGTGAGGGTAAAGCGCCAATGAAATTGCTGATTCGCGAAATCCGAGCAAGGAGTTTCAAATGCTGTATGACGTCACCGTTAGAGATTTCACGTTCTTCATCTGAAATTTATTTCATTAATCATACTTTCGTTTGCTCTACTTTGGATTATGGAATTTTATGGAAATTGGAATTTCATTTTCTAGTATATGCGGGATGCATGGGACTTGTTTTTCTAATACAAGGTATGTATTTTTATGCATTTATATAAATATAATGATAACATTGTTTAAAATAAATATAATAGTACAACCTATAAATATATTGTTATTATTGATTCCTAATTATATACTTGTCGACGCCATTATAGTTAATTGAGTTTGCAATCGAATCTGCTAAACTAATTAAGGGTTCGTCCAATAATTGATTTTGTTCATTTAACGATCGCGGCAGCTACGAATTTCGCTTTTAAATAGAAATAACTGATCGAAATAAATGAATATTTTAAATAAGAAAATTAATACATTATTAAACTAACGTTTTTTTTCCATCAAAATAAATGGATATTTTAAGTTCAAAAATTAATACGTAATTAAAATAATGTTTTTTTTTAATCAAAATAAATGTATATTTTAATTAAAAATTAATACGCAATTATAAGAATGTTTTATTTTTAAATCGAAATGAATGAATAATTTAAGTTAGAAAATTAATATGCTATTATAAGAGTGTTTTTTTTTTAAATCGTAATGAATAGATATTTTAATTAGAAATTTTATTTTTAGATTGGGAAATTAATAAATAATTTTAAGAATAATTTTGTGAATCGAAATAAATGAATACTATTTTAAATTAGGAAAGATTTTATTTAGCTATTATGCCGGTATATTAAAATTAAATTAGATAATTAATAAAAAAAAATTATACAAATCAAAATAAATGACCTAAAAAATTGAGTATGGTACTATCGAAATTAAACTTTTTTGATTCAATAAAAGATATACTCATTACTACCAAGATTTAGAATTAATTTACTTTTTTTAGCACGAATTCGATCAGTGCGAATTTGTAATACTAATGCGTTCAGTTCTTAGTATCTAAATTGAGTATTTTTTTAGTCTAATTATCAATAGTACAATAATTATTTTATCTATTTAATAAATTATTTATTTAATTTTTCAATATCTACTTTGAAAGATTTTTTTAAAAATTTAATTAGCAATATTTCAATAATTATTTTTATTTATTTGAGGATCATTTGGATTGAGAGGAGGCAGGGAATGGACAAATGCTTAATTTTCTCCTGTGTGTTGGTTTTTTTTCTAACAAGCTGCCGTCAATCAAACTTAAAGGAGTGGCATGCTGATTTCGTTTTCTCTTCGATTTACGAGGGGGTGGGGAAAATGCATTGAACACGCATATCAATGAATGTCGGAGTTAAGGAACTTGAAACTATTGTCTAAGAGTATTGATTTTGAAGGTGAAATGTGAGATTTATTTTAAATCCACTTTAGCTACTTAGTTTTTGTTATCCTTGATTTGTTATGATGAATTGTTTTATTATTTTAGATAATGCATTATTTATTAGGAGCAGGACGGACGTTTTTAATCACCAATTATATTCATCTATTTGACATCGATTAACAAAACAAAAAAAAAATTTTTTTGAATAAATTCTGATTTTTTAGAAATGCAGTATCATTAGCAAGTTTATTTTTTTATGTGGAATCACATCTGCTTTCGTTAAAAATAGTCTTTTTATGAAAAATAAATATAAAAGGAGAATATTGTTTGTTAATTTAAGCGTATAATTATTTGTTAATAAAAGCAGAGCTTTATGAGGCAGGTAACAGTTTTCTTAATTTTAATCCTGTTTTTCCGATTTTTTTTTCTTTTTAAGATAAATTTCTTACTCAATAAATTAATTCTTTTTATTCATAAATTTTAACAATAAGTTTTTTTTTATTTATTTTTTTAATTCCATTGATATCTTATAATATCTTGTCTTGTTCCAAGTTTTAATATTTCTGTTAGTGCCTTTTTTAAATATCGTTTCCGTTCGATAATTTTCAAGTGTTGTTTTTATTTAGATTAATAAGTTTTCCTTTTATCGTCCCCCCCCCCAGTATAATTAGGTATGAAATATATTGCGTTTTTTAATTATTGGTTTTGTTTTATAGTAGTTAATTTGGGGATTTTAATTATTATCAAAAAATAAATATGCGAATTTTGTATTTTTTAAACTCTTGTCTTATAGGTCTCGCCTAAAAGTTTCTCCCCTACCTGAATGATTGATGGAGTGGGCGGAGGACCTCTATTGAAAAACCGCACCTGTTCCCATAGATCATTACTCGCCAAATCTTTATGATGCCAACAACGATAAAGGGTCTCAAATGGAAAACTGATTTACCTCGGTTTTGAGAGCCATAGTTGATTAATTCTTCCTTTAGTGGGAGAGTGAAACTTGCGGAATTTTTTGGATGCACAAGGGATTTTTAGGGATTTGAGTTAAAACATTGCACGACATTTCCGAGTGTTTTTGTCATGGGTACCGTTCAAATGACGAGGGGGGAGGAACTCCGATGGTAACATATCGTGTGTCTTCGTACATTTTTTATACTTAAATTTAAAGGGCATACTGCATTGCATTATCCGATTGAAAATGCTGGGAATAATCAAACTGTAGCATTTGCTTTTTTATTTATTTTCTTTTGAAACCTCAAAATGATAGTAAAAAAAAATATCAGTATACCACAATGATAGTTATTTATGAAATTCAAGTGAAGATGCTACCGTTCATAAAAGGTGCTTTATGAATAATAACATGATATAACCATAAAACAGTGTTTCCCGAAGTGTGGTACGCGTACCCCCAGGGGTACGGGAACAGTTTAGTGGGGTTACGCGTTCTTATGCGAAATATCTTACAGCAAACGAAAATTTCAAAATTTTTTATTTAATAACAAAGCTAGCCATGAAAACTTTCGATTACGTACTTTTCTATTGGCTATTTTTTGCAGAGTTAACAGTTAATAATTAATGGTGCATACAGCCAGTTGTGATTTTTAACTTTTGTGCAATTTTTCTATAGTAAAAAATACATTAATTTTTTAATTAGTGCTACACAGCGCTAAGAAAAATTTAGAAAGGGTACACAAAAGAGGTAAGTTTGGGAAACACTGCCGTAAAAGATGCTTTATGATTAAAATTTTCTTACTATGTTATATTCAAAAAACTCATAAACATTAAAAGACTCGATTAAAAAATTTTTTTACAAAATAATAAAAATATATATATATATTCGTGGCACTTCAGTTTTATAAAGCAATGATTTCAATTTTTTTCTTTTTTTTTTTAAAGAATGCTTTCGTTGCTGTTGATTCATTTGTCGTCGTCGTAAAATGTAGGCGAAAAATTACAAAGCTAGCATATTATTAATCTTTTGACGTTGATTGGAGACTGGTGTCTGTTTTAAAATAATTTTTTTATGATGCTCTAATTATAAGCAAAGATACATTTAGGTATTTTTTAATTATAAAAAACACTCGAATAGTTACTAAAAATTCGTTTAGATTATCAGGAAATAACTTGTGCATTTTTTTTTAAAGCTTTATTCGAAAGTTTTTTTATTTTTTCTAAAATTGTATCAATAATTCTTACTCAAAAGTATATCAATAATTTTGTAATTTCAATGATGAATAATTGTTTTTCTTAATTTAAATCTAAATAAGTGCACATTTGAAGATTGTTTGGAAGTGTCATGTTTAGAAAATTTTAATTTTAACACAGGAAAAAGAACTGTTTCATGTTGTATTTCGTAATCATAAATTATTAAAATGCTAAATATAATATTTTCACTTATTTTGACTTAAATTATTCTAAAATAATGAGAAAAATATAAAAATTCCAGTTAAAAAATTAACGATTTAAAATATTGTAGTGTAAAATAAGTAAAAGAGTAAGAGTGAATCAGTACAGGAATAAAAAGTATTAAAAATTAACAAAACAAAAAAAATCCTTTTTGAGCACCTGTTATATTGGGTATGGGTTGATAAGGAGTTGAATTTCCAGTTTTGTTTGTAAAAGAGGGGAGAGATCACTATCTTTATCACTTTTTAAGGTTGGCTCCAAGATTTACATGCAAACAAAATGGCTCAGTTTGAGTATGTCGAATCAATTCGAGGTGGTAAATTAGTTTTATTTAATGAATTTTTATGTAGAATAAGGATGAAACACAAAACGAAAATCTATCATAAGTGTATTTCAAATGATTGCAACGCTTCCTTAATTCTAGAAAATGATACGTCATAAAGCTCAGCATGTGCTGATCTTTACAACTGTACTGGTTTATCAAAAGCTGTATAGCATATAATTATTTTTAAAAAAAAATTCCTATTTCAAACAATGTCAACATCTTGTAGGCCGGGATAGCCTGGTCTGTAGGGCGCTGGGCCCATATCCAAGAGGTCGTGGGTTCGATCCTCGCCGGCCGAAGACTCCCCGTGTAGTAAATGGTGACTTTAAACATGCCTGAGAGTCGAGTCTCAAAGTCCTCCATGTTCCCACAACAAATCAATACCTCTGGGGGTACTGATCCAGGATTTTCCTTGTCTTCTGGATTGGTTCAAAATTACAAGGCTACGGAGTTGAGCTTAAGTAGTCGTAAACCCATGAAATTGGGTCAGCTGTTCAACGACGGTTATAAAATAAAAATAAAGTGTCAACATCTTTGTTTTTTCATTTGTTATTACATTTTGCTAATGTTCTTTTGTATCGCCATTTTGTTTTCTTTGATGCTCGTCCAGATACTTTATTCTCTTTTTATAATTCTGATTGTTCCACGCAGTTAAACTTCGTCTGCAGTAATTACTTTCTTATAAATACCAGTTTTTTTGGATTCATTAAGTTAAAAAGTTCTTTCAGATGTTCTGAATACCCGCCCGTGGATATTCCCCGATAGGCCATTATTTTTTTAATCGTTTAATAAAAGTCGTCAAGTCAAATTTACCAAATACTCTAAACTTAAAGGGAAAAAAAAATATTGATCCTATGTGAAATGGAATTAATAATAGTTGACATATTCTTCAGATTATTGATTATACAAGTCAATCAATTAAAAATTCAAAAATTGAAACAAATTACAGTTTGTGCATATATTCAAGACTATTTTTAATGCTTACGAACCTTTACGAATATTTTGTGTATTAGAATAATCTTTAAATATCTCTCAATAGATAAAAATTAAATTTTAAAAAAAAATCAGAAACTATTAATTTTTGAGGTCTTTTAAACCCTTAAGATGGACACTTTGTCAGTGATCATTTGATTATAGTCTATCAAAATTAATTTGATGTGACTTTAAAATATTCTTAGAGATAAGAATGATTTACTGTGGATTATTGATAGATGCTCTACTTCCACATATTTGTGCGAGTAATTATTCTACAGAGAATACAACTATTGAGTGACAATAAGACATTCTGCCCTACAATGAAGGGCGAGACGCTTTCAGATTTTGACATTTTTATTAATTTCTCAAGAAATACTAAGATTATTTTATAATTTTAGAGATACTTAGGTCATTCGTAGGATTTAATTTAGCAATAAAAATTTAGTCGTCCAAGGGCCACCTTGGTATTCATTTAATTGTCATTAAATTTAATATGGTAGACAAATTTTAAAAAAATTGAACTTTACAATTGTATATGAACACATAGTACACATGAAAAATTCACAAAATATTATTAATAGAATTAGTAGTATAATATCAATAGAATTATCACTCAAGTAACGCAAACTCAGTTCTTAAAGACCTTTCACAAAAAAATTAGTTCTGAAATTAAGGGTTTCCTTGTCTTCTGAGTTGGCTTCCATGATAAAATAGCAATCACATGGTATATCTTTTCCCTAATCTACATGATGATTAGTTTGGAGTGGAGACGTGATTTTCATTAATTTTTAAAGAATACATTAAATTCTTAATCACCTGTTCAATATATAATAAATATATAAAAATGTTAAATGGATGAAAATGTTAAATATATAAAAACATTTCTAAAATTATTCCACGCATGCATAGAGTGAAAAACCTACTTTAAAACCTCATATCTTGAGAAATTTTTAACAATTTTTTATAGAAACTTAAAAATAGCAATTTCAATAGTAATTGAAATTGCTATTGAAATTCCGAAAATTTTGTTGATTATCTGCGGAGTTATAGCCCAAAAAGTTGCAAGAAAAAAATTACTATTTTATTAAAATTTTAAGTATGGAGGGGTTTGCAAACAGCAACCAAAGTTATCAATGCAAATTAAAGTCTTTTATTTCATCTATCCATCATCAATCTTTTTTTAATCTTTCATTCAAATTAATTGCTTTATTTTTTGGCACAGGGTGTTCAAAAATACTTGTTTTCGTTTGTAATTCATTGCTGTTCTTTGAAACATTTTTTTTTAAGTATGAGAAATTTCATGACCTAAACACGACTAAAGTATTTCTTGAGAAATAATTCTAATTGGATTTAAACTACTTTCTTTTAATTCTGCTATTCAAACTTTTTTCAATGTCTCCTACCTCATAAATTATTGGTCCAGTTTTTATTAGATTTTCCATGATTCAATGTTATTTTGTGACATCTAATAAAAACTAAAAGTTGAACTTTACTTTTAAAAAAATTTTAAAAATGTAGTTTACAGGCGTTGTTTATTGGGATATTCTATGTGTAAAAAAAGTTTTCTGTACTTTTTTTGTATAAAATATAATTTCCTCTAAATTTAAAAAAATTTTTGGATTGAGCAAATTGATTTACATTCCTTCATTTCGTATGACAAAAACCAACTAACTTTATTTAATTTATTTTAGTAAAAGGTGATTTTTCTGAAAGCTAATAAATTGTCAAAAAATTTATTTGCGAAAAAGAACAACTAAGTTTTAAAAAGAAAACCTTCAGGATCAAGATTTTTGAAAAAGTAAGGAAAAAACTTTGGATTTGGGAAAAAAGGAGAGTTAATTATAAAACCGCATTTAACAATGTTGTGCTTAATAATAATAAATAAAATTGCCATGAAAATATTTTGTTAATACAGTGCCTGCCGCTAATAAAATCACCGGATAATAAAATCAGCCGCTTTATAAAATCAAATCGGCAAGAACCGAATCGTTGCAATATTAATACATTTTAAAAACATCCTTTAATAAAATCAATGCCGCCGCTTTTTAAGATCAAAATTTTGACTACATAATAAATCAAAGGTGCAATATTTCAGCTTTTTTTGTTCTTATTTATAAAATTTTATTTTTTCGAAGTTTAAAGATTTTTTTAGAAGAAGCAACAGTTACTCACAAACCTGTGAAACAGGTGTGGTTAGCACTTTCCTGCGATATACATAGTGTAAGAGTTAAGGAAAAATGTGGGTGGTAAGCGGCGAGTTCATAGAAATCAATTTATCAATGTTAATTCCTTGACTTGAATGAAGTTTGGAGAAACCTATCTCACTCAACAGGGGGTCGAATTCTTATCTTACTTTTTATTGAATGAACCATAGAAGGGAGAGAAGTTTCTTTTGTTATCTATCTTAACAGAGAACATGAATAGATTTCCAAAAACTGTCTGTGCTCATGTTCCATATTATTTAAGCCGTTTGAGTAAATTATAGTTAGAGTTAGAGCACATATCATTTTTAAGTTCGTTTGGTGTTAAATTTTATCAGCATGCCGAAAAGGAAGGATTTGAGTCTTAAAGATAAATTCGAAGTGTTGCAAAACTATGATAAGCTTCCTAAATGTAGTCAACGTGAAGCTTCAATGGAGATGGGGCTCATAACTGTTTCGAAGAAATGATCAGCAATGAAGAAAATGAAATGGACGAGAATTTTTCACGTTACGTAGCTATTGACGATAACCTGCAAACATCAGGAGAAAAATCTGATTCTGAAATTGTTGCAGACATCAAAAATTGCAAAGTTATTTCTTATCAAGAAATGGAGGAATCAGACTCAGAAGATGAAATAAACTCATCAGTGCCAACTTCAATGGAAGTCTGAAAAGCACTTAATGTATTGCGGAAAGCTTTAGAACAAAGAGGAGGAATATCGAAAACTATAAAAACTTCTATATACTCTCAAATGATGTTGAAAAGTTAATTTTAAATACTGCAACTCAAGCAACCATTGATCGGTTGTTTAAACCTTTTGTAAATTTAATCTTATGTAGGGTTTTACTTTATTAAAATAATTAAATTTGTTAAAATAAAGCATCAATGTGGTCATTATTTCAGCTTTTAAAGTGTGTGCATTTAGAATGTATCGTAAAAAAGTTTTCTTTTTTCAAATGTTGAATCGCCTCTTAATAAAATCAGCCGCTTAATAAAATCAAAAGAGCATAAAACGAAAGTGATTTTAATAAACGGCGGGCACTGTACCATTAAAGACTATTGAATGATTTCTCAGTTCTGTACTGAACATGAATTTAATTTAGTTCGCAAGTCTGTATCACGGCTTGAATATCAATACATAGAAATAGTTTCAATCATTATCCCATAAAATCTTGAAAAAAAATTATTATTTCTAATTATGTTTTTACAGTGCAATTACTATATTATGTTAAATTCTTAGATGTGTTGCATTTTCAAACCTAATTCATACAGACGATAAATTTTATGGTTTAAAATTATTAATCATAATAATAACATTATGATCGATTTCATTAAATTTAATTGACGTAATAATTGTACTCAATGAAAAATTAGATTTGAACTACAATTAAAAAAATTCTTAGGATTTCAAATATTTCTTTAATGCGATTGTTAATAACGACTTCCAATGTTTAGAAAAAAATGTTCTGATAATTGAAATTTTATTTAATTTTATAGTTCATTTAAAATTGCAGAAGCTCTACATAAATCTATTTCAATTCGCTAGACAAGATAAGCTATTCATGAAATGGTGGTAAGTCAAGGTACAGCTCTTTCGCTTCTTTCATTCTTAGAAAATTTTCCCTCTGATAGCTAAGACTTTCCCTCTCATGACTAAGACTTCTATCTCACTCTTACGGAGAGGAAAAATACTTCTTCATACCAGGAAAAATAGTAACCTTGTTAAAAAGAAAGCGCCAAGAGAAAATAGCTATATCATGCCAAGAGAGTATTAAGCCAAGTCCGTTCTAGGGGGCTTTTTAACGCACCTGAAAGCAATTATCCTTATCTTGACAGCTGAAGTTTGGGCGAGGTCTACAATGAACCTTTTTAAACTTGTTTTTCTAGTCTAAACTTGCAAATGTTTTTATCCTTTTAAATGTTATTTTTCTACCTTTTTTTTTAAAAAAAATTTAGGAGATCTTTTTTTTTTTCTTACTTTAGAATGTGTTTCACTTTTTCCTTGTAATTTGGGTTTGATAAAACATAGATTAACGGCACTTTTGGCCGACCCAGAAGACCAGGAAATTCAGACATCCGGTATAGTGATAGTCCTGAGCATCCCGGTTAATTGATTCTCTACTGTATTTTTCGGTTATTTAATTAAAATTACTGAATTCTTAGCAGCTTTAGAAAAGGAGATAAGTGTTTTTTTTTTCTCTTTGAATATGTTTTCTTTCATAATTTATTTATGCACGAACTTTTATTAAGTTTGTTTTTATTGTTGTTTGTAAACTATTACATTTTTTATAGGTTTTAACTGTTAATGATGGGTAAATGCACATTTAATCCAATATGACTTAAGAAAGATGATGGCACAGGCAAAGAAGTATCAGAATGGGGAAAGAAACGCGATGATTATTCTATCTTCTGTCAAGTTTGTTCATCTACTGTGAATATCTCTAAGGGGTTTCAAGAAATTTCTCAGCATGCTGGCACAAAAAAGCGTCAAGAATGAATGGACGTTAAAAAGAATCCGCTTCAATTGCGTTTATTTAACAACATATCTACAAATGAGGAAATGTAAGCTGAAAGCAGCAGAACAAACACTCTCTGTACCATTTATCTTCATAGTGAAAAAGAATCTGCTACTGTTGCCGAACTTATATAGGCAATGAAAACTGTTGCATCAAATAATTCAGCAGCAGCATTTTCTGGCATTGTCGCAACTTTTAAAGCTATGTTTCCTAACAGTATTCCACCTTTTTCACTGAATCCAAGGAAAATTCATTATTTAATCACAGATGCCCTAGCTCCCTACTTTAAGCAAGAAATTAGTAAAGATATAAAAAAATTCATTTTTTACTATTATGTATGATGAAACTACCAACTCTGCGAACAAGCAAGAATTGCAGACTGTTGTACGTTACTGGTCAGATGCACAGAACTGTGTGATTTCACAACATTTAAAAACAATGTTTATTGGGTCTGCAACTGCCAAAAATATTTTTAAAAAATTAACAGAAGCCATGGATGAAATGAAACTTCCACTAGGCAAATTGTTGATGTTGGGGAGTGACGGTCCCAATGTTAACAAGAAAGTTCATAGGCTGATGAATGAAGAAGTAAAACTTATATCGGACAGAGAGCTTGTAGACATAGGCACCTGCAACATACATATTGTCCACAATGCATTTTTAAAAGGTTTGAATGAACTTGGAGAAAATGCAGCAGATTTGATAACTTCTGTTTATCATTTTTTTGATGGATGGCCATCAAGATGGGACAATTTTGTCATAATTCAGGAAAAAGAAGGAGTCCCGCACAATAAAATGATTAAACATTGCTCCTCTAGATGGCTAACTCTGGAGCTCGCATGCACTCGAATGATTGAGCAATGGCAGGCTATTAATATCTATTTTTTGATGTATATCCCACAAAGCAAAAGCTCATTGGGCAATACTAATCGCCACTGTAAAAATGTAATGACATTATTAAAGAAAAGCACAATCAAAGCAGAATTGCACTTTGCTTTGTCAAGTGCTCATATTTTCACTAGTTTCACTGGTGTTTTCCAGAAAGAAGAACCACTGGTTCATGTTTTATATGATGAACTAAGTACTTTAATTCAAACATTAAATAGCTGGTTTTGCAAGAAGTCATTTTTAGAGCAGAACATTATAAATACTAACAGTGTAACATGTGAAACAAACCATCTTCCGCTGAAGCAAGTTGTTTGTTGTGGCGCCGTTATGGCTGAAATAAAATCCTTGAGTGATAGTGAGAAGTACAATTTCTTGAAAGCTGCATAGCAGCATTATTTGGTTGCTTCCAAGTACTTAATTGAAAAAACCTCATTTTCTTCCAGTTTAGTCAAGAAATTGAGGTGCTTACATCCTCGAGAAAGAAAAATTGCTCGAAGTAGTAGCAACATCACAGCAGTAGCAAAAGCTCTTCAGATAGATGTTGCTCTTGATAAACTGGTTGATGTGTGGAAAGTTTTACAATTAGAAAAAGAAATTTCTCACAGTGACAAGATTGATGTTTATTGGGGTAGTTTGTTGTCCTTGAAAACCTCTTTGAACAAATTTAAAAATCCTCTAGTAGCAACTGTAGTCAAAGCAGCATTGGTTTTATCTCGCGGCAATGCTGAAGTTGAACAAGGGCTTTCGGTCTCTGGTAGAACTCTCACTGATGAAAAAGCCTCTATGTCAGAAGGAACTTTAACATCTATAATGACTGTAAAAAGCATATTAAAATCTTTCGATAACAAACCGCAATCGGTACCTATAACAAAAGAACTTCTAAGTTATGCACGTAATGCCTATCGCAATTACGAAAATGATTTATTGCAGCAAAATGAACTGAAGGAGATGGTAGAACAAAAGAAAAAGGATGAGGAAGAATTAAAAAAGCGAGGAAATGAAAACAAACAAAAAATTTTAGAAGATAAAAAAAAACATGAAAAATTGTCAGGAAGCACTGAAAGATAAAAGAGAAAAAGAACAAGCTAAACGGAAAACTGCAGATAGTCTTTTTAATGAAGCAACAAAACAATTAAAAGAAGGAGTAGAAATAGGAAATTTGGAAGAAGTTAAATTAGCAGAAGCAATGCTGCAAGGTGTTGCTAAAGTAAGGAGGGAAAGAGAGGAGATGCCTTTCAAAAAACTCTAGAAAAGAAGTCTGCTCTGATAGAGAGTTATTTTAAGACCAACTCAAAATAATGGATACATTTCCTAGCGTAAAATAAATGATATCATTAATCACATCAATTCATGAAAATTCAGGACTTAATTACTAATAGTTGAATTATTAATATTTGATTTAATCTTTGTTATGTTTAAAAATAAAAGTTTTCTTAATTTAAGTTAAGCCTGTAATTTATTTATTTATTTATTTTAGTTATAAAAATTTTGTGAATATTTATTGAGAAAATTTTTATAAAAAATTTCAGTAGCTGTTAAGTAATGTAATGAATGAATTTTTATTTTCATTATAATTGATTATAATTATTATTGTTTTTTAAGTTATACTTGATCTAGCTCAACTTTTTATATTATATTAAGGCTACTAAGATGTTGCAAGTTGTTTACATTGCTTTAATGTAGTCACTATATGTAACTTTTTTAAAAATTTTAGTCACTTTTTTTACTACTTTTTCTGCATTAAGTTGTGCTAAGCCCTGCAATATACTAAATCAGTTATTTTATTTTTTCACATGGATCTTTCACAACATTAGTATCTCTGCTAATCAAGCTTCTGCAACAATGTTGTCAATATCAGGATATACAATCAATTTGTATTTCTTTTATCTCTGAATTCAGAGTTTCAGTAGTTTTCATCTTTCACTCACTCCTTGGCGTTACAACCCATGAAGGATCTTGACCTCCTTCACCACACATCTAGCAACTTTTCGTCTCTCAAGCTTTCTTTTTATAACTTTTAACTTTCATGAATTTTAGGTCTCGCCCAACCAACACTTCTCTTTCCTAGCATCTTTGTCAAAAAGACCTTTTTTTTTAAAGTGTCATTCATTCTTATTAAGTAAACCAACCACTGTAGCCTTTTAGACTTTATGATGTTAATTATATCTTTGTCTTTAAATAGTTCCTGAATTTCTAGATTTTATATGATTTTCCAAATATTGCTATTCTTTATAGGTCCAAATATTTTTGCACATAATTTTTCTTTCTTAAGTTAAAAGTAATTTTTCTTCATATTGTGTAGTTGTCCAAGTTTCACTTCTTTAGTTTATAATATATTTATCACATTATTTTACTTTTTTATAATAACTGTATATTTTTAAAAATGTTACATAACTCTCCCATTTATGAATTTATATGACCCTTACTCATGATATATTCCTGAAATTGTTGACATTTATAGTACTTATGTAAATTAAGGGTAATTATATTTAAAAAGTCTTGTTTTCCTTCTCAGCTCTTTATTACTGAATTCTGCATCTATCTAGTTGCTATTTTTCTCTTGGTAACTAATTATTTATTTTTAGACAAAATGTCAGTCCTATTGGCCTACAGAAGAAGAAGAGAAATTATGTGATTATATTAAAGTAACATTTGAAAGTTGTGAAAAGCTTCCATTTTATACAAAGAGAGAATTTTCTGTGATTAATACAAAATCAAAAGTAAGGGTTTAGTTTGTTTCTAATGTTTAATTTTTAAATTTTCTTTTAGTTTTCATGTTATTATGTTAATATACATCTTTTTAATGAATGAAATAATTTTTCAATTCGAAGTGCATACCCCTTTTAACTATATCTTCAAAACTATATCTATATTCAAAACTTTAACTATATCTTTATATCTTCAAAATTTCTCACCAAGAAAATCAGTGAAAAAAATGTGTAATTCTTTTACTATATGAAAATAACATGACTCATTTTTGTTAGAATAATTATATTTTCATCAAACTTTATGAATAGTAATAAATATTGGAGGGACAAAATAAGACAATTTTGTTCTTTATTCTAAAAATAATAGTTGAAAATTTTGAATTTGAAATCATAGGTGATCCACTAATCAGGCGCTACTAAAATATAACTTGGATCACAAGAAAATATACTTTATTGGTCCATTATATCAGTCTGATTACACACCACCACTGTAACAATAACGGTAACTACTCATATCTACTAGATCTCATAAAAAATGTAGTTTTATAATAAATATGCTGTTAAGAAAACATTTTAACCAGATTTAAGAATAATTTTTAAAAACTAAGTTCAGTTTTTTGAATTGATGCTTTTTGTATGTATGTAAAACTAAAGAGTTTAACAAGATTTCAATGCACAGAAGTAATTTACACAAATAAGTTTTGCTTATATTTAAATATTTTTATTCTAGCTTATATGAATCTTTAGCTAAGTTAATGTTCAATTATATTGATATTACCTGGAACTACTTTTTGTGTGTATGTTTAAAGATGATGTATGTTTTCTCTAGCTAAAATTCTAATTTATCATAAATTTGCCTCCTCTTTTTTTCACAACTAATTTAAATGTGTTGAATTTTTCTAACATAGTTCTAGTAGTAGTAGAAGGATCTTCTTCAGGTAAATACTCATATTGGTTTCAAAACTATGTTGTTCTAGTGACCTTTGCTTTTTTTCCCCCTTTTGTTTGCTTGTTAAACATAGTTTCTATCGCTATTTCATTTCGTTGTTTCGAACATGTATTTCAAAGATGCCAATTGCTCTGAACTTAAACAAAATATTTTAAAAAACAGCAGAGAACTACGAAGTAAAATTTGCAGATTTTTGGTTAATTTTGAAACAGTTTTGAAAGGGTCAATACAGCTTAACTGTTACAAAATTGTTGGCATATTACATAAGCCTTGGAATTATTTAAAAATAGTGGTGAGTAAAAACCTTATATATTGAATTAATTAATCCAAGATTCATACACTAAAGAACTACCACTCGAAAATATATATATCCACTGTCTGGAGCAAGTTGGCATCTCTGGTATTGTAAGTTTTTGCTTCAGATTAGCACAGCTACAAGCAAGCTCTTGTACCATGAAACTTTATATTAAACTAGATTCCTGAAATATTTAGAATAATTTTTATGTCCAGTTGAAATTTTTGTCGGAAAAATACAGATTGAACTATTTAATAATCCAAACCACAGTTTGTTTGATTTCATTCAATTGCTCTTGAATGTGATTTAGAAAAAGACAAGATTGCTATATTATATTCATATACTTTATGAATGAAGCATAATATATTACTCAAGATATTATCCTTAAACAAACAAACTTCAAAGAGTCATTGAACATTGGAGTTTACATCCTATTTTAAATTGCTAATGAAGCAAATTGATGAGTCTAGTTGCAAAACTTGTTAAGTGCTACAGTGTGCCCCTTACTTAATAAAATACTTAAATAGAGTCACCTTAATTTTATGCCATCATTGGGCGCAAAGAAAAAACAATCTGAACCAGACATATATATATTTAATAAGTTGATATCCAAATACATATTTACAAAGAGCTCACTCCCTGCTCCACTTGTACAAGAAATAAAACGAATAAGAAAAAATAAGAGAAAAAAATGTCCCAATGAAATAAAGGCACTTCTAATTATAGCTGAAATACCCACCACATTTATTTATGACTTGAAATATATGTTTTACATTTACCAATACCTTAAGAACAGAAACATCAATATTATGTCAGGTTTCAAATAGTAGCCTTTAATTTTGCCACACACTAAAACTCCTGTTTTGGTATATGCAACCCAACTGAGGTTAACCTCCATGTTTTCTTGGGGCTATGCATGACAAACATCCTGTTATCAAAAAATCCCCACTGGAAAGATTTTCAACCTAAATTGTTATCCTACTGAATAATCTAGCTTGAGCCACCAATTGTCTCTACAAATGGCAATAAATGGGTTTCTAGCATTTTTAGATAATCAATAGCCCTCATGACAAGCTTCCTTTACAACCTTGGAAAACCTTGCTGTCCATTAGAGGGGAGTTTATCTTTTTTTCTCACCTACAGTTTAATTTTATATTTCATACAAATAATTTGCCATATAAAAGAATTAAGCAGTATCTTAAGTTGAAAACTATCCTCAAGCTGAGGATAGTAGAGTAAACGAATTTTGATAATCCAGACAATTTTGTATATAATCGGCATGACACAAGAAAAATAATATTTCTTCCATTATACAGTGGAGACTCATTTATTTTGTGTGAAAGCTACAGCTGCAGTGGTTAACTTAACCCAAGGTCCGCAAATGACAATTAAGACAATTTTGTATACAATCGGCATGACACAAAAAGAAATAATATTTCTTCCATTATACAGTAAAGTGGAGACTCATTTATTTTGTGTGAAAGCTACAGTGGTTAACTTAACCTATTTTGAACCAAAGATCTGCAAATGCACCATTTCAATTGATATTTCTTTTATTATCACTGTGACTTATATTTTTTACTAATTTTATTTTTCTGCTATTGTCAAGGGCTTTAAAGACATCCATAAATTACACCTGCCTGCAAAAAAAATTCTTGTTTGTGAAATTTTTATTGATTTATATCAGCAATGATGATGTCATTCCAAAATGCAAACTAAATTTTATGTAATACGTAAGGATTTTTTGCAAATGAAGATTAAAAAATTAACAAAATTCAGTATAATGCATACAGTTGCAACAGTAGTTACTATTAACTAAACACAATAATGCTGTTCATTTACAATATTATGATAAGTTTTGTGTTTTTCTTGAAGTCAAGAAGCTTCTTCTTTGGGTTTTTCGTTTATGGTCCACATCACTGTCTCTTTTTAAACACCAACAGTAATCGGCCATCATGTTAACATTCCACCGTCCTTGATATCTGCGTTCCATCTCCTTTATATGCTGGTGGAATCTTTCACCTTGCTCGTCACTCATTTTTCCTAAATCGTCTGTTCCAAATGTGAGTGAAGGAAGAGAATTTTAATGCTCATATTGCACCCCAAAAGATAAGTACGTTATAACTCAGTTACAAGTTCTTTGTAATTTTCTTTTCTCTCATTTCCCAAAAAACCTTCTACGACATCTTTAAATGCAACCCAAGCCTGATTCTCTCTATTTGTCATACATTGTTCAAATTTGGAATCTTTAACTAATTTCTTTATTTGTGTTCCATCAAATACACCTTCTTTAATTTTAGAGCTAGACAATTTTGGGAACTTCGATGTAAGATACTCAAAACATTTTCCACCTTTATCCGAAGCTTTCACAAACTGCTTTATGAGTCCCAATTTTATGTGAAGTGGGGGCAATAAAACATTTTGTGGATCTATTAAATATTCATTTAAAATATTCTTCTTACCAGGAATCCATTCTTGTCTCTTCGGCCATATCTTTTTTATCCAATGACTCTCTATCCGTGCTATCCCATTCACAAATAAAGCACGGAAATTTACTAAATCCACTTTGTTGCCCGAGAAGCAGACCTATAACCTTTAAGTCACCACTTATTGCCCACTTGTGTTCAGTGTATTTTATTTTAGTGACAAGCATCTCCATACTTTCATATGTTTCTTTCATGAAAACGGAATGTGCAACTGGAACTGATGCAAGTTCAGATTCGTTAGGCAATAAAACTGCTTTTAGACTCCTCTTGGAGGAATCTATAAATAGTCGCCAATCATTCGGATTATAAGGAATATTATCTTCTAATTCATGTAACAAAGGTATGTCAGCACAATAAACCAAGAACTTTTCAGATTCGAAAAATGATAAAATTACTTTTCTCGATTCCTGTACCAACTAAACGACGTCTGTGTCGTTAATAAATTTTTCTCTTTTAGCCGAGAGCCTAATAATTCTACATTTTCTTTAGTTAAACCTAAATCACGAATTAGGTAATTTAATTCAGCTTGATTAAATTTTTCAGGTGCTTCATTTTTCACGGTGAAATCGAAGGCTTTTTCATCACTTTCGCTTTCAGATATATTAGCACTATCAAAAGCCTTAGGTCGTGTCGGGACAGGAATATTTTCACAATGTGCGACAGGTCTTATAGTAGACTTTAAATTTGGGTAAACAATGTTTGATTTCGATTGTTTATTATATCCTGCAATTTTACACAAACAGAAACAACAGTCATCCACATGGTTCTGCGGTTCACGCCACACCATAGGTATTCCAAAAGGTAAAGATAAACTCTTACCTAAAGTCCAATTTCTTAACTTTTCTATGCAGGAACGGCAGGTGAAATGCGGCGCCCAATATTTGTCTTGGTCGCCCAGTTTCAATCCGAAGTACCAAAAGTAGGCCTTCTTAACGAAGGAAGTGATCGTATTTCATTGTTTTTTTAACATATATTCTTCACAAATGTAGCAAAGTGAATTTGGATCATTCTCACAACACCTCCTGGAACTACTCGCCATATTAGAAACACAATAGAAAGGACACAGTTCAACAATAAAGAAATACAGGAAAATCAAAACATAAACCGAAGAACAACTGCAAACGTGATTGCTTTTGGTTTGATGAACAATTTTTTAGAATAAAGATAATGCAAGACAGTACTGCCATCTATGTTTTGAATTTTAAAATAAAAGGTTTTTTTTAAATACAATTATAAGTATTTATTCAATATAAATGTATTATTTAATTTCAATGAAGTAAGAGGTTTTCAGAATTTATTTAAACAAATAAACATACATACTTTATTAATTTATCCTTTCCAAATCGCAAAAAATCTGTGTATTTTTACTTATTTTAAAAATTTACTTTTCAAAAAAACTGTACATCATATGTGAAAACTGATATTATTTTTGAAATAAGCATGCGAAAATACATTAACAACTATTACTTTTAAAACAAGAAATTGTTGCAGGCTGGTGTTATTAATAATTCAATTGGAGTAAACACTTTCTGTTGAAAACATTTTAAACTATTCAAGTTTTTTAACTTAAAATGATTATTGACAAATGGAATTTTTTGAAAATGTATGATTATTGCTTTTGAGATTTATCATCTGTTTTTATGATGGATTAAAGTTGCTAATCAGTAAATAAAAAAATGAATGAAACAAATTTTGTAAAAAACTAGCATTCAACTAAATGGTTGTTTGTTCATTGATTTGGTGAATGGTGCCTACATGCAATATTTTATTTCTTTAATAAAATATAATTTTTCATACACAAATTTTTTTGTGCCTTAATGAATGTAATGTTGATGAATGAATGTAATTAGACTGGTTTTTTTAATTGTATATTTCAATGAAAACAATACCACATTTTATAAAACTACTACACTTGGCCTAAAATGGGCTAACCTGGATTCTTTCCCATGCCACCTGGAAATTACCAAAAATTGGTAGAAACCCGTTTATAGAAAGAATTTGCGACCTAAGCCATATTTAAAAGCAGGATAATGCCTCAATTTACATATAAAAAATTTCCCCGTCATTGTTTTTAGATAAGGGGTTGCTCTCCATGAATGACATGTCCTTTCCCTTAACTTCAATCCCTAAGAAAATGTGATGGCTATTCTGAATAAGGCTGTATATACCAAAAAGGAGTACTTTCTCTCCATGACAGAATTGAAGGCTACTATCATTGAAACCTGGCATAACATTCATACTACTGTCCTCCTGGTATTGGTAAGCAACATTGCATAGTTCAAGTCTTATATAAATGTGGCAAATATTTTGGCTATCATGTGAAATGGCTTTATTTCGATGGGGCACTTTTTTCCACTTTTTTTTTACTTATTCGATTTTCTTCCTGTCCAGCTGCAGCAGAGAGTGAATTACTCTTTATAACTGTGTGTTTGGTTATTGACTTTCTTCATATACTTGTTTGATTCATATTGATTCTTTTTGCATCCAATTGTAGCACAAAATCAAGGTAGCTTTATTCAAGTGGAACACGCTGTATTTACCTTTTTATTGTTTCACTTAAAATAACTTCTGTTCTAAACTTAACAGACAAACAAAAATTAAGTTCTCTTACAAAAGTTATATTACCTTAAAGTAAAAAAGGAATAGTCTGAATGGCTTTTAACAAGTGGATGACTCACATAGTTATTTTCCTCAAAGACAAATTCAGAGTCCTCTTTTTTTTCCTATCCTTTGTTCCTCTATTAGGACTATTTAAAACATCTCTTCTGAAACATCCTACGGCTTACATCTTTTTAAAGCAATGGTGTTCACTATTTTGGTCTTGAAATATTGAGAGTTTTTTTTTTAACTGTTTACTGCCTCATATCTTACAAACTGTTCAGATACTTCAAAATTCAGATGTTGTATTTAATCAGCTTGTCATGTCCAAATACAGATGTCCTTGGAAAAAATTTCATTAATAGTTACTGCTTACTGTTGTAAAAAATTCACCTGTTATATATTTATATCTTTAGTTTAATGTTCAAATGTATAATTATGATTAATTTTTATTTAACAACAAGTATTTATGATATTAGAGAAATTTCAACGTAAATTATGTAAATTTGCAAATCATGCAATGAAATTTTAAATTCCGCAAAATTTTTCTACTGTTTAATTATATTATGTTTTGATATTTTTCTGTGGAGATAGTTAAAGTAGACAGTTTATATTAATAAGCATTTATCTTCATATTATTATTTTATCTTTTATGAAAAATATTTTGTTCTATTTTAGACTAATGATAAGCATACGATTACACAATTTCAATTTCAAGAATGGCCTTGCAGTGCTGGTACAGTTCCTGATGGTACACTTGGTCTAGTTACATTAATTGAAGATGTACAACTCAATCAAGAAAAACAAGTAGGAAGTGGACCAATTACTGTCCATTGCAGGTGAATAAAGTAATTTATTATAATCTAAAGTCATGAGCACTGATCTGTAATAATGATTTAAAAAGTGGAAAAAATATTGAAATTAACCAAATAATTTTGTTAACTTTGTAGCGCATTATTTATAGTGAGTTTTACTAGCTACCTTTATGAGACTGTTAGAGTTTCATTGCCATGCTTACACAACTTGACAATAAAAATTATTTTCTATTTATTAAGTACATAAAAAGTTTTTTTTTTTGCAGTATTTTTGCCTTCTGATTTTCCTGATAGAAAATATTTTGTCCTGATTTTTGTGTATGTTCAGAATATCCCAATTTCTATGAATACTAGTGTGGGTTTTTTAAATTATAGATTGTAAGAATTGAAAGATTTTTGATAAATGTTTTTTTCTTTCATTTTAATTAGCAAAAATAGAAAAATTCCATCGTTAGTTGTTAATTTTGTTTCGGACTTTTGGTTATCTTGTAAAAAAAAATCTTTATCTTACGATTTTTGCTTAATATGCCCAATTGCTAATTGCAAAATGGTGTTAAAGATAAACTTATTAACATTTTTAAGTTGAAAATTTTTTCTCTTATCTCTCAAATCGTACTGAAAACATAAATGTTCATCACCTGTGTGAGTTTTTTAGTGATTTAAGCATTTTCAAGATGGCCCGAAAGACGGTAAAGATATTCACCTTCCTCACCAAGATGGATGATAAATTTGGTAATCAGATTCATTCTTACTTATGGTTTACTAGTCATGTGATTTCTAAAATTGGCAAAGTATTTGCAAGACCCGGATTGTGGAAAAAGTCATCCATCAATTGTCTGTCACGATGTTTCTAGCTAAGTTCAACATCACAGAGGTAAACCATCCACCTTATTCACCTGAGCTAGCAACATGTGAGCTTTTATTTGTTTCCCACTGTCAAATCTGCATTAAAAGGAGCAAGATTTCAGTCTGTTGAAGTTGTAACAGGAAAAACCGGCAGACATCATGAAAAGCTCACAGGAGAAAATTCTTAGCACTCTTTCGAACAATGGAAAATTCACATGGAGCATTAGTTGAGATAGAAGTAAGGTGTATATTGAAGGTAATTGAATTCAGTATACTACTAAAATGATTGAATTCAGAATAAAATGTTTTACAGCTACAGACTCATTATTTAATAGGCATGATTTGATTATCTTTGTAACAGGTTTGTTCATTTTGGATGAACTTTGTTTCCAGATTGTTACAATGTTTTGCATCTCTCATCATTTATTTTTATATACATTTATTCTTTAGTCTGTAGATTTGAAATAATTTATAGTTGCATGAAAATATAAATGATTTTCAGTTTTCTTTTAAACTTATTTTGATCTACTTTTGTATTGAAAAATTTCTAAAGTGAAGAAAATTCAGGTTTCTCCCTTTGCGAAATCACGCCAGTTTTTTAATTTATTTCTGATCAATTCCTATTTTAGTTTTATTTCTTTTTTTTTCCTTCTTTTTTTATAAATGTTTAGTGATGCCTGGGTTTCTTCTAAAGGTTGCAAACAATTTAAGAAATATGCCACACAAACTGACATTTTCAAGGCAGTGGTGAATTAACAATATTTTTTTAGTTCTTTCTTTAAACTTCTTAAAAATAAGAAATAATCGTGTGTATTGTACAAAAAAATTTCCTGAAAATTTTTTTTTTCGTAAAATTTTCTTATTTTTATTTTAACTCCCTACAAAATCTGAATAGCTACTACATGTCTCACAATTATGCATAGATTTACTTGTGCGATTCAAAATACTATTTTTTAGCAAAATGTTACTTTTTAAACATGATTCCTGTAAACATTGCCTTACAAAATAGAACTCAACTTGACTTAATGTCAATAAAGAAAAATAGAACTCAACTGGATATAAGGTTATTTAAAAAAATGTTTCTTGTGTGTTTTTATTAATTTGTAGTATTTTTTGCTATTGTTTAAAATTAGGTAATCCTAAGAACAATTTAAAAGCACCCTATAAACATAAAATATTAAAATATTCTTCTCATCTTGTTTTAAAAATTTGCAGCTTATTCAAAGGCCATAGGGAGTATATGCTGAAACAAATTTTAGTTACAAAGTTTATAAAGATTTTAATTTAGTTATTGAAAAAGAGAAATAATTGCTATTAGCAATGCAAAAGTCAGCTTTTATGGGTGTTATAGATAAATAGTAAAATTAAATTTTAATTTAATGACCTTATAGTTTAACTTTAAAACTTATTGTTAAAGTTTAAATTAAATATGTTGCAAAACATATTTTAAATTGTCCCATTTTTATACTTTTTTTTTTAACTCAAATCAATTAAAGTAATTCTTTTTCTTTTTTTCCATCTGTTTTGATACCTGTTTTTTTATATTGAACAGTAACACTAAGTTATATGAAAAATTTATTTTATTAAGTTTGTTTAATTCTTAAATTTATTTGATCATTATGTTCATTTTATTATTAAATTTATTTTATTATAAGGTTTATTACATTTCTGTTGGGTTTTTTAACTAAATACTATAAAACTAATCTCAAATTCTTCAGTATATAGCATCTTTTCAGTTTGTCCCTGCATATAAAATATTATGAAGGAGATATAAGAAAAATTCTCTTAGATTTGCTTGATTGTAAGAAGTATTCTTATAACCTTAACTGGTATTATTTACTTTGGATTATATCACACTGGCCCACAACTTGTTTTAAAAAAAAGTCAGTTTTTAAATTAATTATTAAAGTTTTACCAAAGCAACATAATTTAAAGTCAAAGTAAATAATTTCTGTTTCTGTCTTGGTCTGTAGAAAGAAAAGGGTGAATATTTAGTAGAACTTGAAAAACTGTGTATAGGTGTATGAAGTGTGTCTTTTTGAAAACAAATTGAATTTTATTTTCTGAACAACTTTATTTTCTGAAAATAATGTAGTAGTTTCTTACAAAAGATGCTTCTTCTGAAATAATGTTTTAATTTAAAGTTAATTTTTATCATTCTATAAATAGAAACAACTATATATAGTATATATTAACATAGTTGTTTATATATATATGTATGTAATATATTAAGATCTATATAACTATACCAAATGTTTACATTATTTTTAGTGGTGGAGGAGACAGGAGTAGTGTATTTGTTACACTAAGTGTTTTAATACAGCAGTTAAAGGCTGAAGAAAGAGTCGATGTGTTTCAAGCTGCTCGTTATACTAGATCACAACGACACTGTATGCTTCAGACTTTAGTAAGTACCTTTTTTAAATGATATTCATGCAGGCATAAATTTAAAGAATTAATAGGATATTAAGAAACAAACCCTTTTAGCCATTGAACATAAAGTCATGAATGCAAAAGGCAATCACAACAGAACAGATCTTAATTTAGGAAACAAAATATGGAATATCAGGAAAAGTGTACAACTTAAAATTAAATTAAATTTTCACATTGTCTTAGTCTAAGTAACTTTTAATGCATAAAAATGAAATTTTTAAATCAGTTGAATGGGTCCTTAGGTGTAACAAATTACTGTTATGTTGCACTTAACTTTGGTGTTTATGGTATTGCATGGTGCATTCGATTATGAAGATCATCAAAAACTGGTTACATACTAAGTACTTAGGTAAGCAAACAATTTTGACATCAAGATGCCCTTCGTTTCATTCCACTTACTGTATGGTTGATGTTTTCCAGAATCTGAAATATAATCAATGAAACTGAAAGCTATCATTTCTTTGGTAGGTTTTTAAGTGACTGCAACTTATTAACGTAATCCTGTTTCTCTCATTGATCATAAGTAATGTTGATAATCATGTTTTAAATAATGCTATGACAACATTTTGTTAACAATATTAAAAAAAGAAAAATATAATTGATGAATTGTATGATGTCAGTCATAACAAACTGGGTTCAAGGAGTCTCCACAGTTTTTATGCTAAATATATGCAAGCTTTAAAATTCTACATAATGATAAGCGGCTTGTTACAATATAACAATTTTAAAAATTGTTGTTTTGTTGCATTTGTTCCAACATATATTTACAAAGTTTGGATCTTAGCATGAAAAATTACTTATATGACATATTATAAAACTTAATTCAGTTTAAGCCCTTCACTTTATGTGGAATCTTATGATTTTTATTAATTCCCTGGCAAATAAAAAAACATTATTTTGATCACTTTTTGCATTTTAGACTATGTTCTGTACCAAAAGCAGCTTGTTTAAATATATTATATCATTTCTGAAAGTTTGTACAGTGATTAAATAATGTAGTTGATTACATATTTCAATTTGGCTAAATTTTTTTGAAGAAACTTTTGTTTTTCAGGAAAATTTGCAGGGAAAATTTGCTAAATTGACATTTTATGTCTGTTATGTTTACTAAAATACTTTTTTTTTCTACTAACTCATTTATAATGATAGGGATAAACCTATTATCTGAAATACAGAAATTAATGTTCCAACAAACATTTTTTTCGATATTACAATACCTGGTCCCTGTTAGATATCATGAGATTAAAAACCTGATTCGATAGTTAGAGCGACTTAAACTTGAAATTTATGTCATTGACTCTCCAGAGAAAGGAGAAAATTACTAAGACCAGGGTTGCTACTCAAATAGATGAAAATAATTCCCTGACTTTTCCGGGCATATTTTAAAAAATTTCCAGTCCTATATCCCAGTATGTACTGATAATGCTGTGGTCAAAATATACAATGAACCACAAAAAATTAATATTAATAATTTATAGATTATATTGTATATTTTATTTCAGTTAAAAAATATAACACCACAGTACAGTGAAAAAATGATAGTATAGACGAAAGAAATATATGATATAACAGAGAAAGAAAAATATTTTTAAAAATAATTTTTTGTCTCAGTTAGCCAACACACAAAAAAAAATTTTGTTGTAATTCTGCAATTTGGAAGTCAATAGCAGACACTTCTGATGAAAAATCCTTGATTAATTTCATACTTTGTACCTGCAGGATAAAAAAATGAAAAAGAGTAAAATTTTTAAGAATTAAAAAATTTTTCTGCATATCTTTAAAAAATACTGAAGAGATGAAATTATAATAAATAATCCCACTTTTTTAATAAATCATAATTATTAGAGATTAACTTATATTAGTTTTAATGTAAAATAAATAAAAAAAAGTCAACTTAATTTATCTGAGCTTCTTCCAGATTTGACAAAAGAAAATAAGTGCTAAAGTAAAACTATTAATAAATTTATTAGTATCTCTGCAATACTCAGATATTCTGCATCTCAGATACTAATTCATAAGAAATCTTTTTAAAAATACTAAATCATCTCATAAAAGAAACTAATGAATACATAAGCATTATGAATTAAATAGTAATTAAAATCTTAACTCAACTAAATAAATAATATTTCTCTCTTGGCAATAATATTTTTTCCTATTTTTTTTTCATATATTGATTAAAATGTAAAAGCAAATTTGTTAAAAAGAAATCAAATTAAAAAAAGATGTGACCTTTTATTACTAGTAAAAAATTAAAATGCAAACATTATTGAGAGAAAAACATAATAAATATATGTCTTTACTAAATATGAGAGATTAGAATAAAAGTATTCCAAAACTTTTAATTAAATTATTAAAATTAATAGGAATTAAACTCAATGGAAAGTAAAATTATCTAAAAAGTAAGTTTTATAGTCTTCGAATCTCGCAGACAGGGTATATGTTAAATGTAAATTAGAAAACAACTGAAAACTAGAACAGAATGTTAAAAATTAAAAACATGAAATTTATTTTACTCTCTATTACAAAATAAATAATAAATTTGAGATATAAACATAATTCAGAGATATAAAAGGGAAATCTAAGCAACAAACACATACAGTAAAAAAAAAGGAAAGTACAAATTATCGAACTATCTTCCATTACCTTTGAATGTAAAACATAAGATAACTTGAAATAAAAATAAAGGAATAAAACAATGCCATATATCTCTCCATTTATTATTTTAAAAAAAGTGAGTAAAAATTTGAAATAGATATCAAAGGTCAATCCAGGTTGAAATCTGAGCCTCTTCACAACCTATTTACAAAACTCTAATTTGTAAAAACGGTCCCTTCACAAAATCCAAATTAGTAAAAATGCCCTCTTTATGAAATTTCATATAATAAAAATAACCGCCCAAAATTGTTCAGAGGCAGATCCTCAAAAAAAAAAACTATTGGAAACTGCATGATTTAACGACATCGTCATCACGAATCGAACTCATCTAAACTCAAATTCAAAATTTTGTGTGTAAATAATAGCTTGTTAATAATATCAAAGTTTGGAAAACCTTGTGGAAAAAGCTGAAAAAATGTTGAATGAAAAACAAAAAAATTATTGTCTAATGTGGTGAAGTTGGAATGGAATTAATCGCGAATCTAACACGTCAAAGCCGGATGACTCAAATTTTAACGTCGTAATAACATCATATTAAAAATACCTGAATTTGAGAAATCACATCTAAAAAATCAAAAAAATTATTAAAATCTTTGGAAAAAACTATCACCAAACCACGGGAAATTACGTTAGATCACAATCGGAACATGACAAAAAGTGATAATTCAAAATCGAAATTCGAAAATTATATTGAAAATCATATTGCAATATCATACTGAAAATATCAGAAATAGAAAAACCGTGTTAAAGGTGGCAAAAAAATTATAAATAACTGCTGATAAACTATGAACTAATGATGTAAAATTATGATGGAATCGTCGAAAATCGAACGCTTTGAAAAAAGTGATGGCTCAAATTCTAATATTGTAATAGCGTATTAAAAATATAGGAATCAATTTGGAAAACCATAAGGAAGCGGTTCAGAAACGATCGGCAAAATACATGGATTTTAAAAAAAGGAATCAAAAATAGTTACTGATTAAACTAAATGTTCTTAATTAAAAAAATTTCAGAAAAATACTTTCGATTTTTTTACAAAAATGGCTCTAAAAATAAAACCTGGATCAACCCCAGGATGTTATAGTATAACGTTATAATTTCCAAGTGGAACTGCAATCCCTATGCTTCTCGTGAGTTCTTAATAACGAGTTTAATTAAATTCTTTTATCAAACCCTTGGCGAAAGAGGATCAAGAAAATATTAAAATAAAAAACTTCAAAAATTTATAAGAGATAATATAACACTATATATCTCAATAAATTTTTTAATAAAAATTAAAGTAGACATTCTGAAGTCTATCCATTCTTCTACCTGTTACGGATTCTAGCAACCATAAACCCTTTTCAAATCTAAAGTTTTCTAAGTCACAGAACCGTGTCATGCTACGATTCTTTGAAATTTGGCTCCATGCCAAATGGAGAGAAAACGAAACTCTTGCTTAGGGAATATGTTTTAGGGTACATGCAAAGGTCCCAAGTGTGGCGGTCGCCAAATCAAACTCCCTGACTTTTCCAGATTTTGACTCAAAAATTTTTGAATTCCATGACTTTTTAGGCAAAGCCATTTTGCAAAGTCCCTGACTTGTCCCGATATTCCAGGTAGCGTAGCAACCCTGTAAGACTGTCTGATTTTTTTTCTTTTTGTTATGCAAGTTTAATGCATATTTTATTCACTTTACCTTTATTTTTTTAAATTATTTAGCTTAGCCTTGTTTATAACACAGTATCTGTCTTTCAAAATTCCACTTCATTTTAAATGAAGTTTTTATTTAATAAGGTTTTTTTTATTTTAGGCACAATATGATTTCTTATATAGAGGATTACTGGAATATATTGTATCCAGAAATCTTTGTGATATGGGTGATACGCAGCTATGATATTTATTCATAGTATATTCCATCCATCATTTGTGGTTTCTCTACCTGCCTTACCTGGCAATAATTAAGACTTTTAATGTCTATTTTGTCCAGCCAGCAAGACTTGGGGAGATTTTGCTCAAGTAGATGAGTGCCATTATTTCTGAATTAAATCAATAATGTTTTATTGTAAAATGGTTTGTCTGCAGTATGAATGAGTGTATGAACGGTTGAACGATATTATATATTGAAAGATACCTCTTATAATTATCATGAGAACTGAATTCATTATATTCAAAGTTGAGTAATTCATTCATATTACCAATGAAAGATAGCACACTGCCAGCGAAATTTTTGTATGTCCGAATCACTGCATTTGAGATATCTTTCATTCGAAAATGGAATTCATCAAAAATACATTATCAGAGTTTATACACTTGCATAGTCAACATGCTATCCACAATTTCCCTGAAAGTTCTTCAGCTATGGTGCTATGTTTTATGGAGCTTGGTTGACATTAGGTGCAAGACTGAATATACAACATTTTTGTATGAATATTTGGTTAAAAGTTTAGGGAGTCCCTAAAACATCTCCATGTTATTTAATCAACTTTTTACTAATAGCTGACAGGTGCTAAATTAAAAAAATTAAAAAATACTTCATATAAGAATTAGTTGTATATAGATATAATTTTATAATTGCTATTAAAATACAGCCATATAACAATTTCTTTTTACTGCTTTTATAAGGAATTGTCTTCAAAAAATACCATTTAGATATCTAGAATTTATTTCTGTCATTTGTGCAGTTTAAATACCCATTTGTACCTGCTCATCTGTTTCGACATCATCACGAACTAGGGTGGGAATCAAGGCAGCTTAGATTTCAAAAAGGTTCATCATTTTTCTTGTATATTTCGTTTAGTATGTTTGTTATATCTTTGAAATAGCAACATATCATTCATGTTATATTAGTTGTCTTTATGTAGTTGTTTGTTTTTTCATTGTTTGAGTGTGTGAAACATTAGAAATCATGAATCAACATTTATATTCTCTTGTACAATTTTGAATAGTCTGAGATCACTTTTATGACAGCTTAATTTTAAATTAGACATTTAGAATGATTACAAAAACGTCTGTTTTCCTCTACATAAATTTTACATACTTTTCAAAATATGTATGATGTTGTTAAAGTTATTAGGAATAAGAATTATAAATCAATCGCTAAATATGTGGTAAATTAAAGTTACCTCCTATTATCTGAATCATTTCTTTTAGGTTTAATTTTTAAACTGGTGTTTTTATATCATCATAAATAACTAGCAACGTTTAAAATTATTATGGATTATTTTTTAATTCCAGTTCTGCCTTTTGTATAGATAACCAATTTCAGTGCAGATTTCTGGGAGAAAAAAAACTTGAATTTAAAATGGGAGACCATGAGCTGCTCCATTTTAAATTAAAATCCTATAAAAAATTTCTTATCAATTTTGAATCTCTATTTAAAAAAATATTGTTAATTATAAAATTGTTGGCATACACATGTGATTGGTAAGTTTGTCTGCACTTAGTTAATGAGGTATATAGTTTTAAATTAAAAACTAATTATTAATGTAATAATCTACATAGACCATTTATGTAAGAATTCCACTAATAAATCAAATAAATAAATATCAAGGAAACTAATTTTAATTATATTTAGAGGAAAATATTTTAAATTTCATTTTTGTAAAAACATTTTTTAAACTTAACAATCTTAAAACTTAATAGTTTTAGTCCCTTAAAAAGGTATAAAAAGTAACAGACATTTAAATCGCTCTAATTTAACAACATATGTATTGCTTTCATTATGAGGTATGATTTTACTTCAATGCTAAGAGAAACTGAAAGGAGTAATTTCGGAAAATAACTAATATTCTATCATCAGTTTAGAAACTCAAAACTCTAATTTAGATTAATTTAGAAAACTCTAAATATGATAGACAAAACTTAAATTTTCTTTAAGCTTTTTTTCTGCTACTAATTGTTTAAAGTTTTTAAGCTTCTGTGATTTTCAGTCTCATTAATTTTCTTTCCAAGACTGTCTTGTATTTTCTAAAAAAAAGCTGATCATAATTCAGAATAATAATTTCCCATTAAAATAATCTTCAACTGATGTTTATGAAAAGAACTTTTTCCATTTATTTTCTGTTTCTCTTAGCATAAATTCCGCATTTGATTTAGTCTTGTACATTAATCATGAGATATAAATTAGCTTTCATATTGTACTTTATTTTGACAATTGAATTATTTTGACAAAAATAGGGAGGTGGAGGATTAATAGTAGCTAGGGGAAATGCTAATTTTTTAAGAAAAATAAATATGTTTAAAAAAGCGGAAATGTTACTCGGTTTAAGTAAATATAAAACAAATGAAAATATAATTAAATAATTAAAATAACTCAATTGTATTTATAATAACTAACCTTTACTCTTTTTCAAATTATTACAGTTACGTCATCTAAAGCAATTAGCGTGAAAGTAAAAATACTTTTATCTCAAATAAAGGCAAGGAATGAAACATTTAATTTAAATATATTTATATACAATCATTTCTAATCATAATTAGACAAGCCTTCAAATGATGCATCTGAAATCACGAGAATACAAATCCCAATGTTCGATTTTAAAATCGCATGACTACAAAGCACATCATTTGATTTTAAAAAGGCATGAATACAGATCATTATGTTTGATTTTGAATTCTTGTGAATGGGAATCAAAATATTTGATTTTGAAATCTCCTAAATATGAATAGCAATATTGAATTTTTAAGACACAGGAATACAAATTGTGATACTAAAGACTCATGAATGCAAATCGAACTGATTGATTTTTAATCTGCATGATGTTTGATTTTAAATTCGCTTACATTTTATTCGTGCTTTTTAATTTTTAAACCGTGGCAATACGAATCACAATGTGTACATTTTAAGCTACGTAAATCAACGTTTGGTATTAAAGTCACATAAATATGAATTGCGATATTGGATTTTTATAATGCATAAATGCAAGTCCCGATATTAAATTTTTTGTTGCGTGGATACGAATTGCGATATGTAGTAGCTTAACCGAGTGAATACGCATCACGGCATCTGATTTTTAAACCACTTAAATTTAAATCCCAAAGTGTGGTTTTCAATACTTGATCTTTTAAATTGTGTGTGTCTATATTATCTAATTCTGGATGTGGAATGTGCATAGGGCCTTATTCGAATCTGGGGGCTTGATAAGTATTTTACAGTAGTTAGTTAACACCAGAAACAGAAAACAATCTCTAAAAACTGTTAAACTAATGTTATTAATTGTAAAACTATGGATGTAAATCATAATATATTTTCAATATGCAGTTGAAGAAAATCAGTATTAAATTAACCTTATAATCAATATTGAGTTATTCTTATAAATTCAAAAAAATGCTAAAATCACTGATAAATTGTAAGATTTTTAACTGAATTTTGTATTTCAAGACTTTGTTGATTTCAGTTTAATTAATACTGAATCTTAATCTCTCTTTCCTATCCTTGACAATGCATTATATTTTGAATTTTCTTCTCAAAACTTCAAGATTATTATTATGACACAGAAAATTTAAATGGAAAGCTTTTCTATTCATGGTTTCTTTTTAATTATTAATTTTTTTCCAGTAATTTATTTCAAGGATGTCATGAAAGAATGTTTTAAAATGCCTGCTGCTGTCAAATGTAAAATTAATAATGTTGATAAAAACAATTTACTGAAGTATTCAGAATTTTGTATTATTTGGGGTTTCTTAGTCTATACACCTGCTGTAAAAGTGAAACAATTAACAACTTCATGATTATGTACAATGCTAAATTTTCAAATATAAAATTAAGTAAGATGTTTATAGTTAACTTTTATAATTTTTAAACACTTTTTTATTAATGATGTATTTATTGAAATGAATGATGAAAACCTATTCATAATGATTTTTATATTATCCCTCTATTGCCTATTGTAGTTTTAACTGCCAAAAATCATTAAAATTCTCATGCATTTGTGTTATTCACATAAAATTATTACTTTTGGTAATTAATAAATTGGTTATTTATGAAACTGTCCATTAAGAAATTACGTAATAACATTAAATATACTATTACAACATATTTATAATAGTTAGGTTTGAATAATACAACGTATGATTAAATTAAGGCAAATATTAGCAATAATTAAAATTTACCATATTAAAAAATAATTATAGGATAATTTTTCCTAATCTTAAACCCTAGTTAGTTTGTTTTTTAATGAAGAGGTTGTTAAATACAGTTTTAGAAGCATTGTCCATCCTTTTACAAAAGCTACTTCCAATTTATTGGTAAAGGAAACAATTTTTAATTAGCATAAACTTTGTGACATAATAAACCCCAAACATTTTTATGATGTTTTTACCGTAGACATTGCAAAAAAATAATTTGTTTACTAAACCATTTCTAAATCCATTTAAATGTATGGATAGAAGCATTGTTCCACTGAACTATGTTATCCTACTTACCTGAGAATGACCTTAACAGTATCAATTGATCATATGGTATAGCTTGATATTAAGCAGTTCTTACTAAAATCAATCTACAGCTGATCATCTTCCCATTTATTGATTAACACATTCTTTTCAATCTCCCATTAAGTTTTTCCCATCATTGTTTTGCTCTTTTTTCTTCATTGCTTCAAATTATAAGTTAATATTTAATTTAAGCATCTGAAATTTTTTTTATTTATTCATTTTTTTTTTCTAAAATTTTGTACATATTTAGATGATTTTTTTTTATTGTTTTTTGGCCTACTGTCTAAAATGCATTAATAATTCCAGACTGTCACAATCTTTTTTTCTAAATCTTTTTTTTTTAATTTTGTTTAAATTGTCTTTAATCTAATCGTAATTTTTTTATAAATAAGTTTTATGAATGGGGTCAAAGTATTTTCATTGATTCCTACAATTAGTTTCAGAGATAGATAAAAATATGCTAAAAGTAAAGAGACCCAAATTTTCAACTGATCTTAAATCAAAATTATTGAGTCCATATCTTTCAGATTCTTACTACCAGGCCTGTCGCTAGCCGATTCGAGAGAGGTGTTGAAGTTTATTTTGCCGACTGTCATATACATATAAATGTATTAATATATAATATATATATATATATATACAGTGGAGCATCGTTTATACGACGATCACTTATACGANTTTCAGATACATCTTTTTTATATGTCTATTTTTTATATATTTCAGGCATATCTTTTTCATATGTTTTTTACACATGCTAGCAAAAATAAACTCCTTAATTAAATACCTGAACATATAAGTACAAAAGAGCATAACATCTGAACATAAAAGTACAAAAGAACATAACATCTGAACATAAAAGTATGAAAGAACATAACATCTGAACATAATCAATAAAAAGAGAAATTTATACAGGATAGTATTAAAAAATGTCTCATGTAAAGTTAAAAATATGTAATAATGTACAGTTAAAAACAAATAACTAAATAAATTTTAAAGCTGTTTTTTTTTTAAAAAAAAGTATTTCTTAAGAATGAATTTGACTTATTTCTTTAACTTTTGGATTTTGTTATTTAAAATTTTGTATAAATTTGTTTAGCTTACAATTCTAAAAGTTTATTATTATTGATTTAAATATTGAAAAAAATAATTACCAAAAACTGGAACATGAAAATTACATTTTACATATCTTAATAAGCAAATTTTATAATTGCTTGCTAAAATATTTTGATTCGCCTAAAGAGGTCCCGAAATATGAAGTCGAGAAAAATTAAAATAAACATTAAGCGGCAAAAACTTCCGTTTGCTCTCTTGACAGAACTATTGGGTAATAACACATTTTAATATGTTGTATCTAGTTGTTTGCTTTATACAGTAGGGAATCGATTATCCGGAACGATCGGGACCCTCGCTATTCCGGATAACTGATTTTTCCGGTTTTCTGAATCGCTACAAAAAGCCGTTTTTTTTATTGTTAAACCCAACTAAAAAAATAATTTTTTTTGGAAATAATCTTAAAAGGAAGAAAAAACGATGGAGTAGTACACTAATGATTATTTCCAAAATGATGGTAAGGTATTTTTCAAAAAAGAAAGAAAAATCCTAAGAGGAAAAAAAAAAATTTTTTTTAAAAATGGCGTGAAAATTTATCGAATTTCGTTCCGGTTTTTTGGTTTTCCGGTTTTCTGATTTCCGGATAACGGGTTCTGTACTGTATATATAATATATACACACACGCAATTTGTATATGAATAAAGCTTGATAATCAAAGGTAATAAACAAATAAAAGAGTTCAAATGTGCCACAAAACTTGAGCTTCCAAAGTTTATTTTGAAATCATTTCCCCTAGTTATAAACATAATGCTATTCATCGAAATAATTTTTACAGCACGTAAAAATGCAACCGCCATAGGTGAAAAATGTGGTAATATTGATAACTAAATAGTACAAGTAATTATTCAAAATAATACAAAGAAAATCTAGTTCTTACATTTCTATTAATTTTAATTATTAAAATGGTAACAAAATATTAAAGAAAAAAAACTATTTCTAAATAAACTGAAACTTATTCAATTAAAATAAGTTTTCAGTAATTATTTGTGGAAATTATTTTAAAAAATAAAGTTGTAAATTTAAATGTTTTTCAATGCAACTTTGAAATACTTTTTACTCTAAATTAAAATACTTTTTGAAAAATCCCTCAGTAATTAAAATTTATCTTTCGTTTCATCTAAGCGTTGTTACCATAAGCTAATTAGAGCAACTGTTTGAAGATAAGAAAGTAAGTCATAACCAGCAAATACAATCTTCTTTAAGATATTGATTCAAAACAAAATTCATTCAAAAGTAAATTGTCCTTTCATTTTTAAAAAAATAAGAAAAATAATGTAGAAAAACATTGAAAATATTTGCCATTTAAATTATAAATAAAGAAATTCACATAAAAATGATAAAAAATTAAGATATTAGTAAATTAACGTTACATTATATTAGTTACATAAATTTACTTCGACGTTGTTTTAAAAGTGAAAAATATTCTGCCAACTTATTAAGTTATCAAAAAGATATTGTTCATCAAAAGATATTAGTTCAAAAAGATATTTTCAACAATATCTTTTTCTACTTTGAGTAAAAGCAGTGAATTTAGGCATTCAGTGGTCAATGTTGTTCGAAGATAGTTTTTAATCAATTTCATCTTGCTTAAAATTCTTTCATTTGTTGCAACTGTC